TCAGCACGACGATTCCGACATGCAAATATGAATATGATGCAAATATAAATGTACTCCGTAACAATTACCAGTTCACTCATTTGATCCCTAGGGATTGTATCATTCTTCTCGTCGCCAGTGGACTATGTAACCACGATTATTTGTACAGGAATTTAAGATCCCAGTTACTTACTGTATTGCACTTACTCCATACAAGCGCTCCGTTCACCTTTGGACGCTTTCTACTGTGAATTACATGACGTCTGTACACTACGTTTGCTGTTGTCTTTTTCCTCTTCCTCTCTTGCAAATAGCGTTCGAATGCCTCACCGAAATCGCACTCTTGAAAGTGCGGTGTATAGCTATCCGTGTGCGAACGAATCCGTGCGTAGGTCAAGCATGGCTTTCTCGTGTCTGCCTTTGACATCCGTTCTTGTCGAGAATCGAGGTGGTCACCCCGAGCATCTCGGAGATCACAGGCAGACGCTCGGCGCTGTATGTCTCGAGAAGAGATTTGTCGGCGAACCCTTTCTGAACGAGCGCAAGTTTCCATCCTAGATTGAACTGGTGCGCGGTCAGTGGTAACACACATGCTACATCTACCCGACTCACTGCATCTTGTACGCCCGAATTGAGTCCCTGTTCATAGATAAATGAGCAGGTATTAGCAACAATCGGACCAACCATACCTGACCACCAGTTGGGCTGTAGACGCTTTTATATGTGTTAGCAGCAGTTTGCGAAGAAGGCATTCAAAGATAGACATACTGAGCAGCATCTACGACAACATACATCAGCATAGCTACACACGTCTCAAACAGAACCACTTACCGCCCGCAACAAACACTCGACCCTCGCTAAACTTATTCACCATCCGGATATTGGCCCTGGAACAAACCGATGAACGTGCATCGATACGGATAAAAATACAAAACGCACCGGAAGTCGCTCATCCAAACTACCTTGGTGAATGTAATCTCCGTTGGTATTAACGACGCGATGGTCTCGAAAACAAGCTCTTCGCTCTCAGCGATCTTCGTCAGGTCTAGTTCGTTGCCGTAGAGGAAAAATTGCCAGCCATCTTCGCCAACTTCGTCTGTTGGACGTAATGAGAGGCTGCATATCGTTAATATACAGGTCTCCAGGCCTCAACTGAACATACCCTCGCTCGTTAAAGTTTCCAAATCGGTGCGAATGCTTCAAGACTGCATTAGGATAGCTTTTCATCGAATACGTAGAAAACGGACGTACCACTCTATCGAGGCCAACGCCCTTCAAATGGATATCCCCGGTCACGACTCGGATATCTTCTCTAGTCTCACCCAAAAATGTGAGGCCAAGTTGCTTGCGCACGACGCATGCAAAACTACCTTCAGTCTCGTTTATCCCGATGCATTTAACTACGTCTTACTTTTAGCACCATCAGCGCCGATGATCCATTTGGTATCAACAGTCTCTGATATGCCGTTCTTTGCTAGAATAGCGGTGACGCCCTCATCGGACTGCTCGAACGAGCGCAGTTCGGTGCCCATCTCGACAGAACAAGAGAACTTCTCTAGGTGGCGTCGCAGAATCACATCTAGGAGCTGTTGACCCATCAATTTGAGGCTGTGCTGAAAAACCGAATCAGCATGAAGGTTTGATCAAGCGACTATGTTGCCCACGAATGGTATTGCTGGAGTAGGTTCCATTTGCGGGGCCAATGGGTCTTTCAGAGGTTCCAACGTGCCGGACTTGTATGAACAGGTGGGAGGGGCTGGTTTTCCCAGACCATTAACTTCTGAAACGTCCAGGAAGTTGTAGAGTTCGAGGGAGCGCGGCTACATAGAGAGAATACATTCAGGGGCGATACGACAAGTGGATGCTGTGACAAACCCATATTCCAGCACCACGCTGTCCGATACGATGGTGGGGGTCTTTGTCGATGATACGAACTGAGATATCATTTTGGAGGAGCGTCAACGCTGCTACCAGACCCACCGGCCCAGCGCCTACCTAACAAGGAATTTAGCTAGCTGCAAACATGTGTCAAAGGAAGATCACCACTTACTATTAACACGGGAGGATGAACAGAATTCATGTGTAGCGCTTACACTGACCGAGGATTACTTAGTTTGACGGTTTGGATCAGCATCTCGAGGCGAGTCGAGGGAAGCAGGTCGTTATAACATAGGGGTGATGCTGACCAGACCGGGAACTGCGTACGTCGATAATGATGTGTCGTTCAGCTGCGTATTTACAAAACAACTTCCCCTTGCCGATGACTTAGACGTCACTCTCGTAGTACGTACTCGATGATATCCTCGAGCTAGTTACCGGCACCCGTCCCAGTCAGCGTATTATGTAATTCCTAATTCCTAGATCTCCTTTCCCGTTCCTCTTCATTCGTAAGAGAACGTCCTATCAGATGATTTGTCAAAACGCTCACCAGATACATGATGCTGACTGGACGGCCCGCTTAGATTTTCATGCCATCAGACGTTTGTCTACATACCTGACAAGCGAAATGTAAGCTAGCGCGGTATTGGGTTTATGTTGGCCAAAACGGCCAGAATATTGTGCTCATGAGCAGGGTTTGAAGTCGAACCGAGAAAGGTCCGAATGATAATACGGTGCTAGACACCGGTAACTGATGCCATAATTCGCACCCAACCCTGTTATATTTTGGGGGTTCTACTGTGTTGTAAACACTCTAAAGGATAGTGGATTTTCCTGCAATGGCTCGAATTCCTATGATCCGGGGGCTCGGAAGGGACAGAATTTCCGCTTGAAGAAATATGGCAGACGTGAACACTTCAAAGATGCGCTTTATTTTCTAGATCATTGCGTTTTTACGCCAAAAGTGAAAAGATGAGGTTTTTTAGAGGATGACACCGGCAAAACCCACTACTGCCGTAGCGGGAATAGCAACACTGATTTGTACCTCTTATTCGAGTCCACTCTCCAGATCGCAAAAATAAAAAATAAGCAGCGAGAGAACCCGAATGTAATCACAAACAGAAATCTTAACTCTGGTAGATAATCTACGACCATCTAGGAGCTAACTCCCTGAACCGGCTCATAGAGTTCTGTAGACCTGCGCATTGAGGGCTGCTGGCTTGTACGGAGTAGGCCTCTGGTATTAGTTCCTCAAGATGCTAACGGAAAAATAAGACCATAAGCTCAAAGTGGAAACACTACACTGACTTTGATTCTCCGTTCTGCACCAGGGTGCGTACGCAAGAATTCCAGACTCGTTGCTCCATGCGCCTTTTCATATTGTGCGAGTCGCGTATGTATCCTGTAATGTCGCGCACATAAGTCAGACAGCGGAAAGCCCATATCACTCACTCCACAGCAGCCTGGGGGTCAAAACATGCCCTTGCACTGAGCTGCATGCCGATAGTATCGGCTACGTCCCTACATCAGTATTTCCATGTTTATAACTGCAAGAAACACACCCTCGTATTCCTGAGTCCGCGAATTGGGTAGTTCCAGTAGCAGCGTGCTTATGAGGTGGGTGATTCCAAAATCGAACCCGAAGACTGTTTGCAGAAGAACTGCTAGCGCTAGGAATACTTTAGAGGACGAATAGCGTTCAGAAGCATGTCGAGCAACTAGCAAAGGGGTATTTAGAATGTACGCGCATGTTGTATCATGCCATCATACCCACGTGGGCCATCTCTGGCGAATAATTTGAGTTGCGCAGAATATCCTTGGCAGAATCGCGTACCATGTCCAAGGACGGCAGCCAAACCCTGTTCATCCTTGCATATAGGTAATATTCCGGTGAAAACCACGATATTTCCTGTGGCCACATATATGTAAAGGTTCACTTGCAGAGGCAGCTCGAGAGCGAACCAAAGGTGGCCATGGCGTTCACAACGGATGGATCATTCACAACAAGCAAATTCCATTCTTTACCTCCGCTTTCTGGGGTAGACGACTCCCCGGAAGGCCTTCCAGTGGTGAATGAGTCTTCGCTCCAGAAGTCATCTAGTGCTTCCACTAGTGACCGGCGAGGCTCGCTAGAACGCAAGTGGCCAAGATCCGATGATTCAAGAATACGATTAACAACTCGTTGAACGTGTTGTGTCACAGGATGATTGGAAGGCAGTATCTTGCCTCGGAATTCAGCCAAGAGCTCGTCGTATGCTGCCTGTGCAAGCTGCAAGGGGGGAATATGAGAGTTTGTTCCTTCAGGCTAAGCTTGCTCTCACCTTTGTCTCATACTTGGGGCTGATATCCATAAATCGCCACCTACCTGTTTCAGGGACTTTCTCTAAACTTGAGGGCTAAAGTGAGACAAGGCATCACAAGTAGTGCACTGAACACGCACTGCACGACATAATATGCTCCTCCGACTGCAACAAGTGCAATAGCAAACTTCATGCGATTGTCTATCACCTCTCCTGATGGGTGGCGGTGTTTTTCGGATGGAAAGCGCGTATACTGAGCATGTCGAGGGGATGATGTTGAGAGTTGGCGTAAGGGGATTGAACGAAGGCTGGATGTCGGTAGTCGAACCCGCAGGTAATTTCCAACAAGGACTGGCAGGCCCCGAGTACCATGCGACGCCCGCAGGATAGGTGCTGCTGTCGTCCACATGCGAGCAGGGAGCATTACGAATATTAATGGCAAGATGAATCTCCAAGCTTTTCTAACATATATAAGGTGCACCGGCGGTTCGTGTCCATCCCGTCATTGCTGACGCATGCTCCCGGCGGCTCGGTATTAATGCTGTCCACTGCATGCTGTGCAGCGCTGACGCATGCTCTGATCCTTCTCCTTTTTGCAACCAGATGTACTTTTCATGGATCCGCAAGCTCATCCTTACCTGTCTAAAACAGCTTTGCATTGTTGATTGTCCAAGTCCAACTGCTCAAAAATCTCGAGAACCATTTTATCCCACGTATCATGTTTTCTTTTCATCCTCACCGCTCTTTTTTTTACATAAAATAAATTGCAAGCTCAGCGGAAGTTCGTCTACTTGCATATAGGGACTAACAGCCAGAGCTGTTGACAAGACTCTTGTCACTCAGTCGGATATGGTGTAATGGTTAACATTACCGCCTCTCATCAATTGGAATCTTTGGTTCGCGGTAGCTCGGGGTTCGATTCCCCGTATCCGAATTTTTATTTATTTCCATTGCAGTTAATAAATCCGTTTGTTCTGGGTTATTTTCGAACCTGTTGTTTGATACGTGACTTAGGCCCCGCTCGGCAATCGAGTCCGGTTTGTTTTCGCTGGTCAGGTCCGATTGATGCGAGGGAAAATTAGACCATCGAAATCTGCCAAACCAGGCAGCGGGTTTGTTATAGTAGAGTACTGTGCTTATGTTAATCAACACTCACCTTGCAGGCTCTAAAGCCAAGAAAAAAGGGCAGCTGCTGTCATTGCTCTCGCACCCACTGCTGCTTCACTTACCCAGCACTAATTCTCTGTCCGCTACAATAAAACACCAAAAAACACCTCGAAGCTCACTGGCCAACAATGGTTGAACGAGCTTCTGGTTGGCCACCCCCAACACTTTTATGATGCAATGAGAATGAACAAACATGTATTTCAAGCCCTTCTCCATGAGCTGATCAAGCATGGCCTTCACGACACAAGCGAGTTTAGAAACTAATGTCTACTATCATGGCCATCCATTGCATTCTCAACCTCCTTACATCTGATAATCTCTATAATGCCTATGTACAACTCCCTGATGCAGATACCCCGCTTGCGCTTGAGATCGAGGACAATCGACAATCCGAACTGTTCCCTGAGTTTTTTGATGATGGCAAAGTCTTTTTTAAGCTGAGAGCACGGTCAGAATGTGTTTTGAATAAAATACAAGACATACCTTTCCCCAATGGTCATGGCACGAGCCAGATGTCTTTGCAACCCCTCCACTCGTCTTCTTGCTCCCTTGGAGTGCTTCGGCACAAGCAACAAACAACTTTGGTTAGAATCCTGAGTCAGATTGATGACCCTCCTCCCGTTCCTTGAGAAGTGTTGCAATCAACACAGCATTGTCATTGGACTTCCAAACAGTCTTTGTGCTTGCACTCGGCACCTTTGATTTGGTCTTCAGGACTTTGGGAGTCACAGTCGGAGATTCGGCAAGGGGATCAGTGTTTTCCTTGTCATTTTCTGTGGTAGTAGGTGACATCAGAAAGAAAGGGACAAGTTCATAAATTAGACAGAGGCTACAGATAAGTACAAGCAGATACACAATCTAAACCATCAAAATCAAACTTTTTTGTCAAGCACACATGCTGGTCAGGTTAAATTGGACGTTTTGATGGGAACCAGTGGTTGGTTCGATCAGTCGTAATTTTGGTGTGTAACCAGCGAAAAACAAACCGGACTCGATTGCCGAGCGGGGCCTTACTTTTTCTTTAAATGCATGGTCTAACTACATGGATGTCGGAATCCTCAGACAATCCCCGGATATCACTCTTGCGAAGTACTAAATGCTATGTTGATGCAGAAGCTTGAACGTTAACCTGCATCACTTTATAGCCAAGACCACATTAGTGTCATGGCTTGTTGATATGGCTCCGCTCAAAATCATATCATCCTAAATGTCGCACCTTGGAACCCATGAGGCACGGTAGCATCCTGAAGAACCCTGGAGAGTGATAGGTGTCCAAGTAATATTATCTCGCGAATCTGCAAAAGTAAGTACTACTGTGCCAGCTCCAAGATTGTTCTCAATTTGTATACTATTTGTTGATTTTACTTCTACTGAAAGACTTTGAACCCGGATTGTGTTCTACTTGGCCAGATACGTGTGGAGCATGTGCAACAAATTGGGAGACTACAGTTGTTTCTGAAGATCTTCAACTGTACGTATCCTTGGTTCTAATTGAACATAATGTCCATTTCGATTGACTTTACTGCCATAACTAGGTGCACATGCACTCGCGTTAAGCCCTACATATACTATAAGCAATACAGAATTAAAGGCTCCGGTGAGTTATTTCATTTTTACCGGTTTCCCTTGTCCCACCTAGCTAGTGCTATGTCCTATGAGGATGGTAAATACCTTGAATTCGCACACACGGTCTTGAGGCCTGCCCCAAAAATCTGTACATTACAGAACTGCAAGTGACTGAAGAGTCGATAGGAGCAGATGATAGTATTGACAATGAGCATCCGCAGTCTTATTTATCCTCTTGTAAGTTCATGACTTGGGAATTTCATGCTATATAATTCATGCTACATCTTTTCCCCAGGTCTGACTAGCGCCCGAAGAGAGTACTTTAGCATTACATTGTGCTCAACTGGTATGATCCCACTTATGATGCGAATATGCATGTCAGTGTGAGTACCTGAGTTACACAAATTGGTTGGTACGAGTTGTGACACTATCATAGGCACTGGGCTGCACTAGCATATTCTGATGCACTATCAAGTAATATTACCACTTGGTTCATTGATCATGACAATAGCACTATTTGACATGCACTATGGTCAGGCATCAACAATACTACGCCAGAACTTTAGCTGGAGTCGGGTCGACCCTACCATATTTGCGAGCGACGAGAACATGATGCAGGCGGTCATCGATGAACAGGTTTGGTTGGCTCTTGTTGGTGAGTCACCTCTTTGTACATCGCATCTTTGACCATTCATCTTTCCCAGTCAAGACGAATGCTACTGATAAACTGTCTGATGCAAGGAAGACCGGAAACAGTACTTTCAACTCCACTTCCTTGCTCACTGTTCACTATGCTCAGGTGTGCAGTCCAAACCCACGCGTGCTACATGCGGCTAATCGTATATCTAATAATCTATAGGCTCGTCAAGAAATCGTGGTTGGCACTTATGTACTTGATTATGGCAATCTCCTGCAACCTCCTTGGAGAGATTACATCGTCTCTTGCTGCTGCTTCTGCACAGAAATATTCCACGTAAATTTATGGGCAAGGTCGGACCAATGAAATACCCTTGCAACTAATTTGCACAAGCCCCGCAAACAATTCCTCCTCGCATCAGATAGATCAGACTTCCGGTGATTTCCACGCACGCGTGAAAAATTTCTGGTGGTTTCTAGGCAACTGTACCCGCACCCTTGTGGGGTTTACCATGGGTGCTACCTAAAGATTTGTAGTTATAAATGCAAAAACAATATCAAAACAAATTGTACCTATTCAAGTTGCACAGGCACACCACAAGGAGCAAAGCACACAAAAGCAAAACAAACAAACATTTCTTCCCAATGCACAGAGTCTTGGTACTCAAATTTGCTTGCATAACTCTGGAAACCTCACTCATCTACCTCCTTCCTTTTCGATGGATGGTGTGCGTGACTAGAGGGCTTTACCTCCCCAAAAATGACGGGGCTAGCTTGGGCAGTGATAACAAAGGTAGTAACGAAGTTGATTGATGTACGTCCTACAGGATAGTACTGGGGGTTGACAGCGTAGCCCAGTGCGATCATGCAGAACAGCATCTGCAGCAAGAAGTCGTGGGCTTCATACAAATCTTCTCGGTGTTATTGGTTGGGCATGATGAGAGAAAAGCTATCTTGTACGGATCATACAACATAACTTTTCTCTCATCAGTATGGTCTGGGGAGACGTGGTGGATGATAACACAATATATGTCCCATGGAATGTGCGAGTGCTTTTGCGATTGTAGTTTATGCTGACGAAAACAATGCAGGATATGCACGATAGATGAATAAGAGCTGGGCGCAAACGAATGCTGATGGCTTTCACACTCAACACGTCTGAAGGGCTTCAGTTGGATTCAGATAACTTGGGTATCCAGCAGGAGAATGAGGAGATCGGACTTACCTAGGTTGGGTTTAAGAGCAAGAGCATGTTGGAAATAAGAGCAAGTGCGCCCGCAGTCGAGGCACGTCATTATTTGCTATTGTCTTCGTTCATTACGCCTAGCGGCTCGTATGTTTCCTTTTGTGCACTCTTGTTATCTATCTTACTCTCGTACCTACTAAATCTTTTGTACGCTATGACCAGCGCCCTTATCCTATTGTTCCTAGTTTCACTCACTCACAAGATCACTCGAACTATTTAGTTATTGCCATTTCGACTCGTTACCTCAGACGTTTGCCTGATCGTGCACGATCTGAGGTAAGATACCTAGTTCTTTATCTATTTCACCTTTACTTATATTGTGCAGAGTGTCTGTCTATTACAGGTGAATACAGAGATGTTTGCCTTCGCGTGCACGATCTGAGTGTCTGTCTATTACAGACCCGCACGAGTTATATTATCTTTTCAGAGCGAGGTGCAAATGAATAGAACAGTATTTTGGCTCGCTGAGTCCCTCGCTCCTCAAGTTGAAGTTTGAAAGAGAACCCCTTTCAAACCACCCTCATTTAGATAGTTAGTGTTAGTCAACTTATATGTCGTGAGAAAACTGATGAGTATTGCCTTGGTTTGCACGGTGCCGCACTAAGCGTTCTCACTAGCACTTCCCACTCTGACAGCGTTTGTTACGCATGAGAAGACACCGTGGATAGTGCCTTTGGAGCCAGTCTCGCCAAGGTTACGCTAAATCTGATGCTGCAGTTAGAGATGCATACGTTCAATCTTCAGCCATTTAAGTGGGTCGTCCTTGTTGCCTCTGAAGCGGCTCCAGAGCCGCTTCAACGATTCGGAGCGATTCACGATTCCATTCGATTCTGACGCTCAAAAATCGACAATCGATGTCCGAATCGGTGCGTGAATCGACGTGTTTGACAGTTGACTCCCTAGGACTCCCTCTATTTGCATATGTTTTATCACAGAGTCCTCTCAGTGTTTCGATAACTGTGGTCACAGGTACTTTATGGTAGCTTTCTCATTGCCATTCCTCGATGAAGCTCACCCCCACACAGGTCGAAGCCAATGTGTCTCGGCGAGCTCTTGTTCAGGAACATCTCCGGCTTTCCTCCTACCTCCGACTTCGCTTTGCTGTGTCATTAATGACCTATTATACGTTCTCGTAAGTTTGACTTTTGGGCTTCTGATGAATGCAAAGTATGCGTGACAATCTTCAGTGGCTGTTTCACACTGACTTCTTGGGCTTCTTCCTCATGTGGATATATGTTTGCCTAGGTACGAATTCGTTTGGACTGGTAGCGCGCAGCACGTTTCGGATGAGTATCTGAGACGAATCTAGATCAGTGGTC